ACAAACAATCTAGACCCAGTACAACAAAAGCAACTCAGGACTTGTTGGTTGAGCATGCCGATGTATTTGTGGGATGAGATGGTCAATTGGGTTTAACAGTCACCACAACAAACATACAAGCAACACATGTCTGATCAAACAACCACTGCACTGGCTTTATGGACTCCAATGAATATTGAAGGATGGAGTCATACAACCTTTGGAGAGTGCTTGGTTATCTTTAGTAGTGATTGTCAGGAAGAAGAAAGGTATGTTAAAATTCTGTGTTGATCTTAGATGAATGAATGCAGTAACTTGGTTCAACATTTTAGATCAGACCTCTGAATACTGGCAAGTCAAGCTGGACAATGAGAACAAACTATAGACTAGTTTAGCATGAGAGATGCCTTTTACAAGTTCCACATCATATCATTTAGCTTATATAATGTGCCTGTTACTTTCAAGAGGCTAATGGAGCTTACACTGAAGGGACTGCAATAGGTGAGATGCATGGTATACATAAACAATATTTTAGTGTTCAGTAACATGTTTGAGTTTGTGGCTAAGAACCCAAAGATGATATTCTAGCAGTTAAAGAAAGCAGAGTTTCACACAGAAGTGGAATTTTTGTCACTTAGTAGGTAAAATTGAGACACGCTGTATTGGCATATCTACAACACTATGAATTTCTATTGAACACCAACACCAGCAATAATGGAATTGGAACAGTGTTATCACGGTTACAGGATGGAGTAGAATGTATAATTACATATACTGGCATTATACTCATGACTGCTGAATGCTAATAATGTATGACAAAGAAATAACTACTTGCACCTATAGTCTTCATAAAGCACTATTGCCATTACTTGTATGGTGGTAGATTCTCCATCCAAGTGGATCATGTTTTGCTAAAATGGTTAACGAGCTGTAAAAATCCAAAAGGAATGATAGCATGTTGGATAACAATGTTGCAAAAATATGACTTTGTCCTATTGCATCACCTACGTATACAACATAGAAATGTTTTAGGTTTGATGTAATATAGTTATGTACACTTAATGAACTCCAGACCATTACAAGGCACAAAATGCATTAAGGCTTACTCACAGATAATAGGTACTCAATTTTATAATAGTTTATATGTTTTTGTAAATATTTCTTTACTAATAAGATAAAATTAAATATAGAAAAACAATTCAATTTTAACTTAAATATGCTGAAGAGTACAAATTTATTGATGCTAGGGAAACTAACTTTCTGTCATGGAGCTATCTAATTTAATATAGAGGTTGAATACAATATAATAAAACGATTTTGGAGCCTCACCACATCATTATAATCCATGTTGCCACGTCTGGTGATGCTCTATCTCATGACTGTGCATCAGCCCTGTATTTTAGTTTTCATCCTAAAAGACTTCAGTGTAACATCGTAAGACTTTCATATTCAAAGTAAATCTTTCCTTCCTTATGCTTTACATACTTCACCTATTGTGTGAGGACAATGGTTCCAAGCACCTGTTTCAAAAATTCAATCACACAAAAATCTACAGGTGCTGCATACAACAACTTGACCAGAGTGTCTTTCTATGGAATAAAATGAATGCCCACTCCATCCTTCTGCTGCTTTAGCTTTTTTTTTGTTATTGTTGTTGTTCATCCTTCATGATTGAAGAAGATCTTCTTCATTATCATCCATTGACCTTGTATGTTCAGAGGTGCCTGATTAGCCCAATCCTGGCTTGAAAATATCTGGAGCAATGAGGGCAAGTCAATAGACTGGTGGGTTCTGAAAGTTGCTTCCTACTGCTTTGCATGCTGCACACTTGTTCTAGGCTGTCAGAATGCGATGTTGTTCATATGTTGGTTGCTCCCTTTGTGACAGAACTCCTCCAGACTGGGCTGTTTTGGGCAAGAGTTTCCCAGGTATTAGGATCTATGTTGCAGTCCTTTGGCGCAACCTTGAGTGTGTCCTTGTAGCACTTCTTCTGACCACCATAGGAGCATGATCCAGTCTGTAGTTCACCGAAGAAGCTGCATTTTGGGAGGTGATTGTCTGGCATTCTGACAACATGGCCAGCCCACCAGAGTTGCGTCTTCCTCAGCAGGGTGTAAATGCTGGGCATGTCAGACCTGTTTAGGACTTCAGTGTCAAGGACCTTGTCTTGCCATTTGATGTTCATAAGTTTGCATAGACAGCAACTGAGTTTTTTTGGCATGCCATTGGTAGACAGTCCATGTTTCAGACATGTAGAGGAGGGTAGTGAGCACAACTACCCTGTAGACTTTCACCTTGGTTTTGAGTGTTACCCCTTTTTATCCCAAACTGATGAATGTAGCCTACCAAAAGCAGTGCTTGCCTTGGCTATTCTAGAGTTTGTTTCATCATCAATGTGAAAACAGCAAGAGAAGGTGTTACCTAGGTAGGTGAATTTGTCCACATCTGGTAGATTTTGGTTGTTGACTGTTATGTTAGGTTCTTGGTACAGTTTTCCTGGAGCAAGGTGGTACATTACTTCAGTTTTATTCATGCTGATGGTAAAGCTGAAGTTGTCACAGGAGGTGACAAATAGGTCCATATTTTGCTTCATGTCTGCTTCACTTCTGGTGTTCAGGGCACAGTAATCAGTGAAGAAATGATGCAGTCTATCAGTATTGACATTAGTCTTAGCCTTAAGGCATTGCAGATTGAAGAGCTTGCCATCCATTCAGTATCTAATGTCAATGCCTGGGTTGACATCCTTAAAAGCATCAGTGAGCATGGCTGAAAACATGATGCTGAAAAGTATCGGTGCCAGTACACAGCCCTGTTTAACTCTATTTGTGACTGGAAAGGGATCAGAGGGCTGGCCATCTTCAAGTACTCGGGCTTGCATGCCATCATGAAACTGTTGTACCATCAGTATAAACCTATCTAGGCACCCAAATTTGCTCATGATCTCCCAGAGCCCTTCTCAGCTGACCGTGTCAAAAGCCTCGGTAAGGTCAATGAAGGTGGTTTACAGATTGACGTTTTGTTCTTGGCATTTCTCTTGAAGTTGGTGGGCAGCAAATACCATGTCAATTATGCCCGTCTTTTCTGAAGCCACACTGGCTCTCCAAAAGCATACCCTGCTGGCAATTGAGAGGAGAGAGATTCCACGGTGGTTGTCACAGAATTGGCAGTTGCCTTTCCTTTTTTAGGGGTGGATGATGTCAATATCCTTAAAATCTTGTGGGAAGACCCCATGTTCTCACATGGATTGCAGTAGCTTTGTGAGCTTCTCGAGCTGCTTGGGTCCACCATGTTTGTAGATCTCTGCTGGAATAGCATCAGCTCCAGGAGCTTTGCCATTTTCGATGAAATTAACTTATGATAAGAGATCTACTGAAGTCTGCTTTGCACCCGGAGACAAGGTATGGTTGTATAATCCCAGGAAGACCAAAGGGAAGTCTCCTAAGTTGTCTTCTCCATGGGAAGGCCCATATGACATAGTGGATCGTCTCTCAGACGTGACTTTCTGGATAAGATGTGGTTGGCGAGGTAAGACAAAAGTGATGCATGCCAACAGGCTTTGGCGTTATCATGGTCCAGGACATTTCAGTTGGGACGAAGTAGACAACAGAACAAATGACGCTGCTGAAGACGTGCCACCTGAAGAAGCCACTGTCAAAGAAGAAACTCTACTCAGTTTGAGAAGGGAAACGGTGAAGCTCTTGATGAAGTTACTACCACTGATGTGGCTGTTACCGACGATAGAACATTTCCTGATGAAGCAGATGAGCCCCACGTGAAGCAGAAGCCAACAAGACGGAGACCAGTACGAAAGAAGATACGTCCCGTAAAATTAAGAGACTTTGTTGAATTGTAATTTTGTGATTGTAATTTTGTACATTTAATTAAGTTATTGTTAATTGTTATTGGTTTATTGTAAGTGGCTATTGTTCGGGACGAACAATACTAAGGAGGGGACAGTGTTGCGTCAGCAAGGTCACGTGACTAGCGTCACGCCACCTGCTTTCCAGAACTATCCGTTCCTTCGGGAGTGCTCTAGCATTTACTA